AAATTTCCAACAATAGAGAATATTTAGTGATATACAAAGATGCTTGTGATTGGTTATAAAGATAAAGAAGTAGGCTGCAAAACTGAGTACAGTATAAATCCCCCCCACACACCCTTTTAAAGGGAGATACGTATAGAGAGAAAGAACTGGAAGGATATACTGCAAGAATTTCGTGATGATTGTTTCTGGCTGGTAGAATTTAATAATTATAAAATCTCAGTTTTCCCTTCTCCCACACTCAATTACCCTCTCTCACTCTTTTGCATTACTTGTATTTTCTATAACAACTCTGTCCAATGGAAATATAATATAAGGCACATATGTAAAGTTAAATATTCTAGCAGCCACATTTAAAAATGAAAAACAGATAAAATAATCTTAATAATATATTTAACCCAAATATATCTCAAATATTATCATTATAACATGTAACCAACACAGACAATATTAACAATATTTTACTTTTTTTTTTTTTTAACACTCAGCCTTCCACATCTGCTGTGCATTTAACATTTATAGAATATCTCAGTTTGGGCCATCCATATTTCAAGCACCCAGTAACCACATGGCTTCCACATTGAACAGCATGGTTCTATAAAATAATAGCTAACATTTCTCGAGTACTTAATATGCGCTAGGCAATGCTCTAAGCCCATTCAGTGGAGATTACAATTCATTCAGTCTCACAATAACTCCACAAAGTTGCTGTGTTTATTACTGTCTCCCTACAACCCATTTTCCTAACATGACATGGTGGAAGCCAGGTTGCAAAGGCTTATCGACTCAATGAGGGAGTTGGAGAGAGACTAAAATATATTCGAGAAGTTTCAGTGAAGAAGATAAGTTAACAGAATGAGGGAAATATGAGGACAGAAGACTTTTTCTAGGGCAGGGAAAAATGATGAAGAAGAAAGACAGAGATGGAAAGTAAAAGGCTGGGGATGTTATTGGACCAAGCTCTCCACCAAAGGGAGGGCTCTGTTGGATAAACATTGCCCAAGCTGTGCTGGAGGCCACGATGTACTCCACAGCTTCCCAGCTTGTGGAGTGGGATAGGGGGCATTGTAGCCTTGTGAGGGGGACAGACACAGACACAGAAACAGACGATTCTAAACTGCAGGTGAATGTTATGACAGAGTGGTAAGGGGTGGTGGTGGGAGGGGCTTCCCGGAGAAGAGCTGAACTGAGTTGTGAAGAATGAATTTAGCCAGCAAAGAAGCAAAAAGGGAGGGGATTAGACTTGAGAAGTACTTGACTGCAAGCCCAGGTGACTGGTTAGGTGCGGAGGAGGAGAGAGAGTGAAGATTTGAGGATGGTCTCTAAGTTTCCCTGCATAGGTAAAAGTCAAAGACGGTAACACTTACCAAGAGCCTCTCTGGAATCAGGCATTGGTCCTGTGCACCACATACTGATCTCCTTTAATTCTCACAGAGTTTCCATATCGTGCTTGCCCTTTCTCAGATGTGTAAGCTAGGCAAAATTATTGGCCTCAGGGCTCACCATTAGGAGGTAGAAGAGTCAGGATTTGAGCCTACAGTGTTCCAGAGATGGAGGAAGGGATGAGAAAAGTTGATGAGGGGCCAGAGCCAGGATAGGTGGTCCAGAGGGGCAAAGGGTGAGCAGGTGTGGACTGGAAGGTAAGCAGCCCACAGCTTTGTGGAACAATAGGTCACTCCAGCAGGAGGAAGGCATGACCAGACTCTGGTCACTGGCAGAGCTCAGTAGCCTAGGAGGGAAGACAGGAAAAGTGGAGAGGAAGGGTTGAGGAGCAGAGATGGGGGAGGAAGCAGGAGATTTTAATTAAGGTAGGTGTCTGTCTGCTGGTGAAGAGAGAAGGCATTTGTGTACACAATCAGTTGTGTGTGTAGGGGGGAGGGTGGTAGAGGGAAAGGTTTGAGTTTGGCAGAGACCTGGCAGGGGAGATGGCACAGGAAGAGATTGGGGCTGGATGGGGTCATTGATTTTGGATCAGAACACAGTGGCAGGCTTAGAGACCCCCTGAGGGTGACAAGTTCTTTTTTTAATCGACTGCAGGAAAAGCAACAACAGATGAAGAGATCTTAAGAAAAGCAGAGATAGAGGAAACCAGGTAGGGGATGAATATCTGCAAAGGGAGGGAAAGGAAAGAGAGACATTAGAAAATTACAAGAGAGGAAAAGGAGAGGGAGGATAAAGGTAAAACTCTCACCATTCAGCACACCCCAGCACCCCAGCCCTAGCTCTGTGAACAGCCGGGCTTGTGAGAGTTGACTGGCCGTTGGGGGGTGGGGGGGAGTGGAGGAGGAAAGGAGGTAGGAGTGGGGGGAATGGGGGGTGGAATGGGGGTGGAACCTGAGCCAAGACCACAGAGCTGTCCCAGCTCAAGCCAGACCATGACCAGATTCAAGTCACTAGTCCTATGCAGTCTGTTTCTTCACCTGTAAAATGGGGTTAATGACGGGCAGCTGGATGTCAAAGTATTTGGAAAGCACCACAAGGGAAGGTGTTGTTTTGAAGATCTACCTAATTAAATACGACCATATATATCCAGAGCCATATGAATGAATGAATGTAGATGTGGCCAATGTAGATGCAAGTCTAGGAATGGCCTGGTGTATTCCCACCTCTTCTACCTGCCCAGTTGAGCGAGTTTGACATCAACGCCCAGCCTCGAGGTGGTGTAGGAGGTGAGGGCCTGTGGCTGGACAGGTAGGGTTCCGCTCCCTCTAAGGGCTCAAGGCCCTGGGGCCAGGTTCAACTTCTTCGCAGCCCCCAGCCCTTGGTCTGTCTCCTGAGCATAGGCCTAGGCAACGCTTATCCAATTGAACCCCCGTCCCTGCGGGGACCTTACCGCCCTGTCATTTCTTTCCATACAGAACAAAACTCTCCTCATCTGTGCCTCTGCCCAGCTCCACACCCTCTCCTTCTTAGTGATATGGCCTGGTTAGGTCCTCGTTCCCACTCAGTGGAGCTTCTCCTTTTCTAGGGCTGAGGATAGGGCAAAGGAAATGGGAGAAGAAATAGAAGAAAAGTCGGGGTAGGGGTGCAGGGAGACAGGAGATGGGGAAAATAGAAAGCCTGAGACCGAAACTTGAGAGCGGGAGAGACCAGCACAGAGAGCCCGAATGATCCAGAGAGGCCAGCAAAAGAGACACAAGCGCTCGCCACGGATTCCTTAACGATTCCTGCCGCAGGCGTTACTGGGCGCTTCCGCGGTGCTTGGCCCTGGGCTTTACAGCACACGAAGGGCTGCTGGGTGCGGTGGCCTCACCTCCCCCCCTCGCCACTCCCTCCCTACCTAGCCCAAGGGGGCTGGAATGGCAACGGCGCGCGGGGGCTTTTCGAAGCAGTGGAGTGGAAAATAGACTTTAACCCGCTTTGTGGCGACAAGGGCGCCCGGAGCGCTCTCCCGGACCAGGGCTCTGGGCGCTCAGGCAGGCCAGTCCCAAGACCCGGCCTGGAGTCCCTACGGACTCACGCAGCACGCGGACCCTCTAGCCTTGCAGAGGCCCAGCACCTATCTGCGCACCCGAGCTGCGGGATCCGCCGCTCTGACTGACCCCCGCAGCGGCGAGGAAGAGGAACGCGCTGCGGTCCCTATCTCGCACTGCGCAGGCAGGGTCCCGGTCTCGGCCTCCCCATCACTGTCCAGCGCCCTGCTAGGCCTCGACACGGTGTTTGCCTGCGGCCTGGAAGGCCGAGGTGAAAAAGTTTGCGGAGTACTGGTTCTCCTTGCCGACCGCCCTCTCATCCCTCGGGAAATTATTGCGCGACATGGAAACTGTCGGGGAAAGAGCCGTCAGCTGCTCCGCGGTCGTGGGTGGAAGGTGAAGGTCAGGGGGGGGACAGGCGGCCGCTGCATTCCTGAAACGGCTGGTGTGTCGTCTCGGGGAAAGGGTCGACTGCTCAGCTAGCTCCAATTTAAGACAGCGTCCACTAGTCCCTGGCCTGGCCAGGGCCGCCTGCACCCGAGCCCCACGACCACAGAAGGTGAGGAAAGCAGATCTCCCTGCGCTGAGACCGGCTGTCCCGTGCGAGCCGACAGCGGTGGCTGTGGTTGGGCCAAGGAGGTGCTTCCGAGCCCTGCGACCTGCGGTTTGAGGGCTACAGGGCAACTGCCTCGGCGGCCTCTCGCGCTGTCCCAGGCCCTGGCCCTTGTAAAAAGAATTGAGCATCTCCTTTCTGGAGCAGTCTCTCATGACACCCAGAAAAGGTGAAATTTCATGAACAAGGTCGCGCGGACCAGGAGACGGATTGTGGGTGAGCGGGAGAGTTCTGGAGGTCAGGGGAGTGGTTCTTGGGAGAACCTGTTTGTTGGACCCTAAACACCCACCCTCCACTCGTTCAAATTGTCTGAGAACTGAAATGACATCCCGGGACGAAGTGGAGAGGGTTCAACTGAGTTACACACTGGAAAGTGAAGTTGGAATTTCTCCCAAGCCTCCGGGCCCTCGGATACTTTCTCCGGCTCCCGCGTGGGTTGAGACGGTTGCGGAAGCCGCCAGACTCAGCTAAAGGGCGGAGACGCGAGGAGCAGCCAGTGGCGAGGGAGGCGGGAGAGGAGGCCTAGATCGCTCTGCAAAGGCTCCAGTCCGGTTTTTGCCTCCGACTGCTGGCTCCTTCCCCACCCGCCGCC